AGTGCAGATGTTACCAAGGAGCAGGGATTTTCCATATGTCTGAAACAGGGTCTGTGCCCCTTTTAGGGCAGTATGGGTATGTTCTTGCAGAAGAAATGAGAATAATTCATTCTGATTGTTAATATGGTACAAGAGGCTGAAGTTATGCTGGTAAAAGTTGTAAAGGAGCACCAAGGGTACAGAGACACTGCACTGGCTGCTGTGTGTGAGTGAGAGAGATGATTTAATGAACGAGAGATGCACTTGCATTGCAACTCAAGCTCAGCTGAGCAATAGCAAGAACTATTTGCAACATCTTTTTGTCAACATCTGTTTGTCTCTGAGTTCATGAAAGTGGAAAAAATCTCAATGATTTTTGTTTTTTCCTTGTGTTGAAATTTTGCACAATTGTTTCTGTTATTTTGGCAGCCAAAATGATACTGGAATGTTTCACCTCCTTTTTCCAAGTTTTTGAGCTGAGTTGTTCAGTTGAGGTTTGTCACATAAACCATGAAGTTTTACTTCTGTTGCTAGCCAAATTATAATCTTTATATCATAAGCCTTTTGTTGTTTATTTCTTTTTCTTTAAAACTCCAGCTTCTGGAATCATAAGAATGCATGAAAATCTCTACTCCTGCTTTCTGTCATGTATTTGTTTTCCCTTGAGATTTTAGCCCTGAGAACTGTGGAGAAACTTCTGGGTGTCATCTGAGAGATGAAAAATGGAATTCATTAAATTTTTGTTTGTTTGGTTTTTGTCGGTTTTTTGTTTGTTTTGTTTGTTTGGTTTTTTTTTTAAATACCACTGGGATAATTTTTGGAAACTATGACTCATGATTTTCAATGTTTAGATTTGACAATGCTGTAGTTCTCCATGCTGCTTCCCCGGGACCAGGAATGCTGGAAGAAGCCATGTGGGGCTTGTCTCCACGGACAAGTTCCAGGGTGTGAATTCACAGCGCCCTAGTTAGGCTGCACAGATTGCCCATGAGGATGCACAGTGTGCAGTTCCTGCCATTTGGAAGCATTCTCAGGGCATGTCTCTGTAACATGCAGCCCTGGAGCTCACACCAGCCTGCTCCAGCTCTGCACTGAAGGCAGCAGGGCCATTCTGGGCTTCAAACTGCCCTTCCTGGCACGGACACAGCCCGAGGTGATGCTGCTGTGGGGGTACTGAGCACCTCTCAATGTGCTGGGCTGTGTGGTTGTAGTGCCTGGGATACCTTTGGGTGCTCCAGGGGATGCTGAGCCTCCTCAGGTGCCCAGGGCTGGCTTCTCCTCCTCCTCCTGCACCCATCCCCTGTATCTGAAGGGGAAACTGAACTGGTGCATTTTCTGAGCCTGTTGTTGAGGACTTGAGGCTCTGGAGCTGACCTTTCCATGCAGTGAAAGTAAATGTGCTCAGCTGCAGCCAAGGGCCCTTCCGGGAAAGAATAACCCCTGTGTGACCTCTGGGGGTTTTGTGAGGCTGGTGTGACTTGGTTTAACACTGGAACTTGCCTGTGGGTTCCTTCAGATTACTCTGAGTATGGCTTGGCTCCTTGGAGTCACAGGGATGGGGAAACTCCTTGGCACCCAGTGGGGAGCACACTGCATGAGGATGGGATGACCTTGAGGGAGCAGTTTGAATTTCCTTTTGGCTGTCCCCATCAAATGTACAGAAAAAAAAGAAAATGAGCCAGTGGGGTACACCTGGTAAAGGGGGAAAAGGGGAGAAGCAGCCACTTGGGAATTATTCAGTCCCTGGTGACAGAGAAGCTGTGATAGCTGCGGGATACCCGCTGTACCCAAGGCCAAGTTTGAGCAGCTGCTGGGATAAAACCCTGGAGACAGAGATGTTGCTGTAGAGCAGCTGCTGTGGCCAGGCCAGGTGGGAGGGAAGAAGCTGCTGCGGCTGGAGCCCTCCAGGACGGGTTCTGTGCCCTGGGAAAACCAGGATGCTGCCGGGTGCACAGGGCGGAGGAGGGCTGGGAGCAGGCTGAGCTCTCTGCCCCTCAGGAAGCCGTGAGGGACTTGTGTGTTTTCCAAGCAGCAGAGACAGGATGCTGAGGGGTGGGAGAGAGACAGATTTCCTTCTGCAGTGAATAGGCTGGGGTGGGGGATGGTGGCTCCAATTTAACCCTTGCCTGTTCCTTTCATCTCCAAAATGAAATGGTGGCTTAGGAAACCATTCCAAGAAATGCATAAATGAGAGGCACGAAAAGTACTGGGATGTTGGCACCAGGGTGATGCTGTGAGTTTATTATCCCAGTTCTCTCACCCCCAGGCATGTCTCCCTGGCTCTGGCATTCCTTTTTACTTTGAAGTTTGTTTGTTCAGTGGCACTGGCATTGCTATGACCCACATGAACACCATGGATGCCAAGGGAAAGGCTTATGGGACCTTGCATCAGGTAGAAGCAGCTTGTGGGAGACAGCTGCAGATTTGAGCCCTGTAACAATTTTTCAACAGAAGACTGAAAAGATGGAATTTCATTTGTCTTTTACTTCAAGGGTGGGGGGCAAAAAAATCTTAGGAGTAACTCCTGAAATGTTTTCTGTTCTTGTTCAGCAGTGAAGGCTCTTTTGTATCTCTTGTAAAATCATTGATAGGACAATCTGGAGGAGAAGTGGAAGGAAACCCAATTACCATCACCTCCCACCCCCACCAAACCCTTGGAACTGCTGTGGAAACAGGGCCTGCATGCAGACCTATAGGGCATAAGTGCGTAAAGAATTTGGGAGAGGTACCTGGAACATGGGAATCCAGAGAAAAGTACTTTGTTTACTGCACCAGAGTCTCCCAGAGCTGTAGAGAGTCCACATGGCTGAAAGTTGGCAGCCAAGCTGCAGGTGTGGTGAAAGAGAGGTGTTTTCTAAACACACCAAATACTTATTGCTCTGGCCTTTTGTAGATAAAGATCAGCTCTGACTTTAAAAGAAATTACAGCAGAAGTGCTTGTATCTGGGAGGATGAATACCTGCTTCCAGGTTGGGCTTTGTACAATTGAACTTCATAAACAAATTACCTGATGTGATTAACCAAGTCAGAGGGTTGAAGGAAATGTGCCTCTGACTCTGACAGTATCGGGGTGGAAGCTGCAATGTGTTGGCCAGACAATTATCGTGGGTAGGAACAAACAGCCACAAGGTTCTTGGGTGTGAGGCTTCCCATTAAAACAATATCTTCTCTCTGAAAATAAAAAAAACCCCACAGCAGAAAAAAATAACCCTCCTGGAAGCCTGAATTTTTTCTGAGATTCAAAACACTGTCTTGACTTTGCAGATGTTTGATGTGCAAGGACAGCAGAGAGCAGTTGTGAACCAAAAAGGGCTAAGAATTTGTAGGAAAACATCTGGTATCTAGACTGACCAGATAAAGAGTTTTCAGTAGCTCTGAAAACATTTCTGCCCTATGATTGTGCTAATTCCAGTAGGAGAAACAGTCCTTGCTCTGACCTCATTCAGTTTTACAAGTTTGAAGGTTGGAATACACAGATATTGGCCTACTTGTCCCTAAGGTAAAGGTGACTTTAAAAAAAAAACAACTTAACAAATAAAGAGCAAGCAGAAAAATTAAATGTTTTAATGATGACATAGGCAAAAAATATTGCAAAAACAAATATAAAACCATTTAAAGCCTGAAATGGAGTTGCAGGCAAGACAACCTGACCTTCTCAGAGCCTGCTTCAAGAAACAAAAACACTTCCTCATGCCAAGCATGCTCTGCATGAGCTGAGCTTGCTTGGTCTCAAGCTGATGACAGTGGCTTTTCCTGCTTTCGATGAAACAAACAATGCAATGGGGGAAGATGGTTCTCTGTCAGGGCAATTCTTTTTTCTTCCAACTGCGATATCAGCTGCCTGCCTGGTACATGAGCCCATTCACAAGCTGGGCAAGGCTGGACAAGCCATTTCACCCAGGATGAAAATCCCACCACAGCTGGGATGTGCGAAGGTTGAAGGAAATACTGCTTTGTGCTGTTTGGAAATTATTCACTCAGGATAAAAATATATGTTTAAGGGGAGATTTCCACCCTTTCTCAGGCGGGATTAGCTATGTTTTGGTGCTCACAGCAGCTGACAAGGAGGTGACAATGGGAGAACAGGATGTGTTGTGCTGTTGTCTAAAAGCAGAAGGGTAGGTGGGAACCTTCAGGCAGGTTTCTGCCTGCACTGCTTCTGGTTTGGTACACCTGGCCTGTGGCAGGCAAACCTGGATTGCCTGTGTGTCCTCATGAAGCTGGGCAGCACAGGGCTGTCTCAGCAGCCAGCAGTGTCACTCGGTGTCCCCTGTGAGCTGGCAGCATGGGCAGAGGCAGCGCTGTGTCTGGAGGTGGCTGTGGGGAGATGTGCTGGGACACGTGGGCTGTGCAGAGTGCAGGGTGTGAGTGGGACCACGAGTGCAGGTGACATCCCTCCCTCCTTCCCTCCCTCCCATGAGCCCTGTCCATCCCATCCCCTCCAGCCTCCGCCCCCAGGCTCCGGCCAAAGCTCCCACCCCATCCAATTGCTCCAATTAGTGCTGTGGGGATTTCTTCTTTATTTAGAAAGTGGCCCGAGACCTGCCTGTATTTGAGTCCAGCTCCCTTTAATCTGCCCCAACCATGATTGAGGTTAACAGAGTTTCCTGCCCAGCAGCCTCTTTGACAAATTAGAGAGAGCCAGTGAGGCACTGTCAATAAACTTCCCACTGTATAGATTTTGTCCAGCAGAGCCTGAATAAATTGGGTCATGCTGCCATATGTAATCCATGCACTTGAGGTTTGACCTGGCTCCTGCGCAAACCAGTGGGCAGGGATGTGTCTGGGAGCTGGACTGGAGCTCTGGCTGAGACAGCTGAATTTTGAAAGAGCTGGGGTGGAGCCGTGCCGTTCATTTTTGTGGACCAGTTTCATTTGTACAGGAAGATGATTGATGTCTTCCCGCGGGAGCTTTTGTCTGTGCTGGAGTGTGTCTCAAACAACATTGCCAAGATACCTTGGGGCTGGGTTAGGTAATTATTTTGTGATTAGATACTGAAATCAAATAAATAAGTTAATCATTTTACAAGTTCAGAAGAAAATACATTTATTTAATCTGAAACTTCTTCACAATAGCAATGCATAACTCTGTCTTTTTCTGCATGGTGTTGGCCTCGGGTCAGATGATTTCCCACTGAACGATTTGCTGGCATTCCATGGCCCTGGTAATGCAAAGTCACCTGTTTAGAAGGAGGCAGGATTCTTGTCCTTCTTTCCTTTGGGCAGTTGATGAGAACCCTGCAAGTGGTGGTGATGGGCCATCAGTTACCACAGTTCATATTGGCAGCACAGAAAAGATTAGTGCACTAACAGGGGAGACTCCTCTTTTGAAAAGAGGCTTTAAATGGTGTCAAGAACCACCACAACGATATGGTTTTTACATAAATAATAATTAATTACATGTAAATCAGACTTTTCCCCACCCCTTCCATTAGTACCGTCTTTGCTAAGCTCTCTGTCTTGTTTCTGTCCACTCACTCTGAGTAGCTGAATGGCAACAGACATCATTTGCAATGCTAACGTCAGATACAGGTCAAAATGGACAAGGAAAACACAACCCGGGGTTTTATCAATGCAATAACAACTAGTTCTGTCTAGAGATGGCAGTGTACTGGGGTTTAACCTCTTCACTGCCACAGAGCCAGAAACAGCAGGAATTTACTTTTCTGGTTTCCTGTTCTGCTATTTCTAACTTATTTTCAGCCCTTTCCTTCTCCTGGCCACTCTCTTTTTTCCCCCTTCTCTCCCCTTTCTGGTGTTTACTAGAGCATCTGGTAGTGTTTATCTCCCAAGACACAGGAGACTGTTGTTTTCATAGATATGTAACTAGCCTAAAAGCTTTAATCTTTGTTGATGTTGGACTTTTGGATTAAAAAATAGTCATAATAGTGGAAAAAGTTAAGATGAAATAATACTTCAGCATAGAACACTTTGGAGACAGCATCAACAGAAAGCCCTTGACAGGGACAGCTGCAATTACTGCATCTCCTTCACAGGCAATGCTGAACTTGTGGGGAGAGCAGGGCAGGGAGTGGGGAGAGCAATTCCCTGAGATGAGACTGCTTGTTCCACTGGAAGCTGAAAGTGTGGCATGTCCTCATGGAGATTTCTGCATGTGCTCCTGCAGCGGGAGTTTAAGCAGACCCAGAAATGCCAACAAGATGTTAGAAATCTGTTTCCATCTCTGCTGGCTTCTTCCTATGCTGCCTTCCAGGAAGGCAGGGAAGGAGCTGATCTGGCTTTTAGCAGAGCCACACTGCACATGACCTGGGGTTTGAATCCCCCGTGGAGAAAAGGCTGTGCTGGAGGTCAGAGGAGGAGATGGTGTTTTGGATTTGGTCTCTTGCTCTAGAGAAGCACGCCAGTTTTCCTCTGAAAGCTTCAGAGATGCTGAGATTGGGTTAATTAGAAGTTGTCAAGATACAGCAAGAAGTGTTGCTGTCATCAGAGAGATGTAGAAAGTGTTACAGAAATTGGGTAGCAAAAGGCAGGTAGGTGTCTGCTATCTGCAGAAGATCTTATTTGCTGCCTTCCCAGGGGACTAGGCACTGTCCCAAACCTGCAGCAAAGTCAGCTAGGCTGGAAGCAGACCTGCAAAATCCGGGTGGCTGCTGCTTTCCTAGCAGGAATATATTCAGTTGCTAATATTGTAAATGCTTGCTGGTACATTTTTATAGCAATAGCATTTATGTAACTTAGGATTTTTATGTAATTTAGGATTTTAAATTAAATGTCTTAATTCAGGTGCTACATACCTCACTTTCCACCTCTGCTCTCCTGCTACATAAGGTGTAAACCTGACTGTAACCTCTCCCAACTTTTTTGGAATAAAACATTTATGGAAAATCCTCACTTTGGGAAGGCAGCGAGTCGATGAAAGGGAGCTTAGCAGTAATGAACCAAGCTAATAAATTACCTAATGTCACCTTAGGATGGGTCTGTGGCCGCCTGTCACACAGCAGCACATCAAGCTGGAGATGCACAGTCGGTCTCTCCTAACCTTTGTACCTCCTCCTGCTAACCAGGGAGCTGGCTCTGGAAAAGACCCGGCCTGCGGAGTCCTGCAAACTGAAGGGTAAAATATTAATAAGCCAAAGAGGAGCTGGAGGTGTCAGTGAGGCTCCTGCACACTGCAGCCATGGGGGAGAGCGCTGCTGGTCTCCACACAAAGGGAATGGCAAACGGTTTCTCCGCAGAAAATTTCACCCGACCAATTTTTTTTGCATGCAAAAATGCAGATTCAGCAGCACCAAAACGGTCTGTGCACACATGCCAAACTTGTCATTTATAAAAACTCAAAAAAGCTCTGACAAATGCTGAAGCTGTTAGTTTTGACACTTCTGACATGAAACACTTTGATTTTTCATTTTGAAACTACTTTGTGTTCAAAATGTCCTTTAATTTTATTTTCAAGCAAGGGGGTGTGTGTCTTTTTTCTTATTCCCCCAAAAAATCAAAATTGAAATGAAATCTTCGGATTGACTCAACATGAAATTGTTCTTGGATTTTTGATTTCACGAGGCTTTTTTTTCTTAGATGTGTTTGGCTTCAAGTCACTTCTTTTTCACCCCCAAAATTTGCCAGTTGGTTTATCAAGAACCACAGCGAACATCAGCCCCTTTGAAGGGGCGCAGCTGCCACAATAGAATATTTTTTTCATGGCTGTCAGTTGCAAAAAGAAGGGAAAAAAAAAAAAGAAAGGAGCCTTGCTTTTGCTTTCCAGGAGATTGAGTTCATTTTCTATCTGACAGGGATAAATAATAAACAGTATTTTTTTTTTCTGCTGTGAGGGATTGTGTTACGTTATCTGTTTAAACATTCCGTTACATTTTAGTAATGTGAATAATGATTATTCCTGTGCTTCTGAGCTCCCTCTCTTGGCTCGGGCGCCGGAGGTTCAGGAGACACCTGGCATTGTTGACAGAGCGCTGAACTTGAACGCCTCTCACTGTGACAGGGCAAGCCCAAATATTTTGGGAAGAGTCCTTGTTATGTTACGACAGGGGTTGGTAGCACTGATGCTGGGGACAGGTTTTGCTTTAATACAGAGCTGATTATGCTTTATTATTCAGGGAACAGCGTGAACTTGGGCAGGCGGGCTGCTGGGAGAAGGAGGATTGCACTTGGGCACTTCTTATTTGTAGGATGTGCTGAAGGTCTTCCAGGAGATGATGTCTCTCAGGAGAGGTCAGGATAGGAGCCCTGAAAGATGTTTTTCTGTGGGTGAGAAAGTGGAAGAAATAAAGCTTTTTTCAAAATTATATAAATGTTTAATGTAGTCCCTACATGTAGACAAATACCTGGGGAAGAGCTTGTATTAAAATACCTTTTTAATCATACTTTCTATCCCTCAAGGTGGTGTTTGCTTCCTACAGTATACATCTTCCCTCTTTTATTGGTTTCTTCTGCTGAAGTCAAGCTGCATCTTGGCAGTGCTTTGTGCATCTCCAGTGCTGCACGAGTGTCCAGCTCGTGGTGTTTCATCAGCCATGGACTTTCAGCAAGATTGGATGGGTTGTGGCGTTTGCCAATTCACGTACGGCATGTAATTATATCCCGGAAGCAATAGGAATTAAATTACATTAATTCCCATGAATATTCATTTAAGAATCTCGACCAAATTCAGGCAGATTAATAGTCCAACGAAAATACAATGGCTATTCATTGCCCCCACAGGAAAAGGAAATATGTATTGGCTGGCAGCTCAGGCCAAATGGAAATGTGCTATAGAAAAGTTATCTCTGGGTGGCTTCTGGCACAGTGGCGGCTGGAGGGACACCTCCAGGAGCAGAGAGGATTAGTGTGGGTACGGACGTGGGGAGCCTTTCCCATCCACCAGGAACCCAGAGGAGTCTGGGGTGAATCCAAGACTCGTGTCTCTGCACTGCCCATGCAAATCCAAACCAACTCGGACTGCAGTGGAGCTTCTCTGGACTCACAACAGAGCAAAATGTCATTTATTCTGTGCCTGACTCCCGCTGCCCTGTGCCTGCTCTGCCTGGATTGTGATGCTGTGGGGCAGCACAGCCATTTCTCTCCCTTACCAGCAGCACCCAGCTGGCTGCCTGCTCTGCCACAGCCAGCCCAGCAGCCCTCGGGGTGGCTGTGGGGCAGCCCTGTCCTGCCAGGCACATCCTGGCACAGGGAAGCTCAGCTCTGTTCCAGCTTGTCCTCCCAGCACAGGCCAGGACATGGCCTTTACTGTGGCCAGGGAAACTGGGAAAGTATAATAGCAAAAGCAGATGAAGGATGCAAATGTGTTTGCAACTGAGGGATCAGAATTTGGTATGCTGGAAAACCCCTCCCCAACAACAATATTTCATTTGAAAAATATCTGAGTGGTTATAGCTCTCATTTGGGAGAAGTTATTATTTTCATTTTGCCAGACAAGCCAACTTGAGACCTTAGCTGTGTCACATTATCTCTTTGTGGGACTTCCCCAGCTGGAGAACAGATCCAGCTTCCACTAAAGCTGGTGCAAGTGTTACCAAGAGCATGGGGCTTAGTCTCTAAGCTGATGTTTACAGCTTTTAAAACTCCCCTTCATAGGTAGGTTGACCTTCCCTGCCCTTCAAGTTCTCTGAGCAAAAGAAAGGTCCAGTTATTTTACCTTACACATGTACCATGTGATGGGCAGAGCTGCATTTTCTACTTTTTTGAAGGTTATTTGTTGCCAGACTGATCTGATTTGCCCTGAGTACACCAAAAACAAGGAAATGTGGAAAGCAGCAACCACCATTTTGCCAAGAAGGGGTTTTGCCTCAGGTTGCAGTATGAGTAGACTCACAGGGCTGCTTCTGCTTGTGCTTATTTGAAACAAAAGTCAGATAATCATAAAACCAGGCTGTAAATCCAATGTACATTTCATTTTATGTCCGCCAACTTTTCGGGGCAGTACATGGTGTGTATCTCATCTTTTCATGTCTGATGTAAAAGGTAAAATAACAGCTGAGTACCCACATGGGCTTTGCACCTACGCAGGAGTGCCAAGTGGGCCAGGAACCCGCCGTGCAGCCTGGTGATGTGCTCTGCAAAGCCTCATAAACCAGTGACTAAGGCAGAAAGGACTCCCAGGCCTGGCTCCTGGGACATTGGAGGTGTGGCATTACAGTAGCTTGGAAAACATTCTGACTTTATAACAAGTAACACCTATAATTACAGAGGCGTCATCACCTTCATAATTTTTTTTTCTTCTTAGCTAACAAGCTGTAGTTGTAGCCTGTGTACATCCCTGCCAAAATCTGTGAAGCATTTGCTCTTGGGATGGTTCTGTCGGTGGTGGGAATATCAAGCATCTTTCTCCAGGCACTTGTAAAACAATACAGCAGTAAACAATTCAAGCACAATTAGCAGCTACATAGGCAGAGGGGGAGGGAGAAGTCCCACCGCTGGTACTGTCTGTGGAATTAATCATGTTTTACAGAGTTGATATACTGGTTTGGATGTGTGAAGTTAAAAACAGGAGATGAAGAAGTAGCCAATAAGCGTTTATTCTAGGATGAAATGTAAAACAAGCGTTGTTTTTTAGCGGTATAGAGGAGAGTGTTTAAAAAATGCTCTTTTAACAGGTTTAGCTCCTTTTCATCCTACTAAAAAAAAGATGAACTAAAATATATAACAAGATGATGTTCGCTTTTAAAGCTGGTAGTCCTGCCAGGTGACACAAACCCCTGCGGTGTCTCCTGCGGTACCGGGGCTGCAGAAGCGGGATGCTGAACGCTCCGCTCCCGCCTCTCGCCCGTTCCCGGCCCCGAGCG